ACTGTCCACCTACCCCTCCCTTGAGCCAACATTAACACTTACCTCTTACTTAGGGCAAAATGTTAGCGTAGGGGAGGGGTAGGTGGGCAGTTTCCCAGAAACTCAAACTGCGAGCTTTAATCTGACCGAGACAAATGGTGAAAAATTGTCCACAGAGTCCAAAGCTAGATCAACCTTTTTCTTAAGTAATATGGTGAACTTTCCATTGGTTTGCTGGTGTGTTCGTGGAGACAACTGCAGAGGTGTAGTTTTATAAGTCACGAATCCAAAACGAGTGACTTCTCGGCTTCTCGCCCAAGACGAGCGACTTGGTTTACAGGCTGTTCAAGTGTCCTTTCAACATCACGGATATGCTTCTCACACTTGCAAGCCAATCGAAAGTTTGTTCAGTTGCTTCCGTTAAAAGATTTTACATGATGGCAAAGTTTTTCTGTTTTCTTATGTCTTTGGCAATGTAATAAGCCATGGGTTTTTGAGGGATCAGAACCAATTTAACAATTAACAACGGATAAGTTTTTAGACTCGGAAAGTGATGCTTAACACCATTTTTCTGAAACTGGATTAACTTGAGGTTTGCAAGAAAGATATAAATATCAATCTTCTGCTGTTTAAAGTAAAATACACGCGGGTCATATGCCTTAGTTAAATGCCCCAGGAGTTTGTGCCATAATTTAACTTTTAGCGTTGTTTGCAGTAAACAGCGCTTAAGAATTAATGTGTAAATAGCCGCTACATGTGAGGTAATTCAAGCCAGTCTTGGATTCTGGATACCACGCTGTGAATTTCGGATTCCGAATTGTTGGTACCGGATTTTGGATTCCTTGTCAGTGGAATTTGGATTCCGGATTCCTAACAACAAATATTTTTTTCCGGATTACCTTAGATGTGACGAAATTAGACTGTTGAGCAGTTTGAAATCGGTTTTATTTGCGGTTTTGTCGCGTAGTCGTGCACTAACTGTGTTGTATATAAAAAGTGAAACCCGTNTTTGCAAGAAAGATATAAATATCAATCTTCTGCTGTTTAAAGTAAAATACACGCGGGTCATATGCCTTAGTTAAATGCCCCAGGAGTTTGTGCCATAATTTAACTTTTAGCGTTGTTTGCAGTAAACAGCGCTTAAGAATTAATGTGTAAATAGCCGCTACATGTGAGGTAATTCAAGCCAGTCTTGGATTCTGGATACCACGCTGTGAATTTCGGATTCCGAATTGTTGGTACCGGATTTTGGATTCCTTGTCAGTGGAATTTGGATTCCGGATTCCTAACAACAAATATTTTTTTCCGGATTACCTTAGATGTGACGAAATTAGACTGTTGAGCAGTTTGAAATCGGTTTTATTTGCGGTTTTGTCGCGTAGTCGTGCACTAACTGTGTTGTATATAAAAAGTGAAACCCGTTTGAGTTCCGTTGAAGCATTGACTGTATGAGGTAAAGGGTCGGTGTTTAAACCCGTAAAGTTTTATGAGTTAGGCTAGGAAAATTACTACTCAGTGTTTATTTTTTAAACTTTGCCTCAAAGAAACTATTTGTAATTCTTGAGCAGTATTTTGTTTTAACAATAAAGAATTACGACTATAGAGGATAAGCTGATTCTTTGGTAGTTCGAGTGTTTACCTTACCTTACCTCAACTAGTTTTAAAGCTTATTGAAGCTATGATCTCCTGCGTATAGGTGTAACCGTGCTCACGGCACCACGCTAATTAACCGTACGAAAATTAACTTGAGACGCTTAGCCTTTCAAAAATTTGAACGATAGAATTGAGATCAAATTTTTAGCCGCTATCGTCGAAAATTGGACCGGCGTGATGTGAACATCGTGACCATCTAAACTTTTGTGCGGCTAAGGCGTGGTTGCTTGATATTGATGTGTGACAACTCGGCTAGGAGACGCCGTTTTGAATATGCATCAGTGGGGCTATGTGGTAAAACCGCTGGAAAAATTTAATCAGCCTTTTTTATGAGTTACGCGTAAACAGAGCGAAAATATTGCACGGTTCCGTGTGAAGGAGATGTCCGGTCAAATTTCTCAATTTATTTGGTACCGTGTGAACGTCTGAGCCTGAGTTGGTAGGGTCGCCATCTCCGAGTTTACAAACCCTCGCTCTCAAAATGAGGCCAAACGAGTTTTACTTGCATTAGGTTAAAAGAAAAAACGCTTTATGCAATGACACTCACCTTAAATTCGTGTCTTGATCTTTATATTAAAAAAAATACTACTTGTGTGTGAACAATCTTTTTTGTAGAGGTATTTGTTCACGATCCGGTAAAAGAAAAGAAAGCAAAAATGCAGGAAAAACACTGTCGATAGTACTTTTTACAGTGGGCGCTTTCCATTCTCTTAGAAGTTCGACAAATTATGTTTGGGGTGTGAATGGAACGCTCTCACAATTTCGAGCGTTCTACAGGAAAATTTCGGGGAAGAAGTGGAACATTCAATAATTACAAAAGTTGTCCTGTTTTCCCTTTGGAAGTTCAATTTACACTGTAAATAAGAAAGATCAGTTTTAGCCTTGAAATTAGGGCCGTTACGGTGAGTAAAATACTGTGATTTGACTCTCCTAATCAGGGCCAGTATAGTCCAAATACAAGGCTAGGGCTGATTTGGACCCAAAGGGGCGGGAACAGCCTTTGATGGAGCTGTTTTGGCTTAAATTGTGCTCAAATGGTTCCAGGAGCGGTTGAATGAGACTTTGGCCTGCAGAGCTGAATTGGTACTTAAGGGCTGAAACAGATCTTTTGATTTTCAGCCTACGGCGAGTTTTAACGAGGATTCATCAGTTCTAGGCTATTCATCACGGTGACATCTGTGCCGCTATCTATAATTTTGGCCAAAGAGGGAAACAAATCGAACTAATTTCAAATGGAACACGTTCATCAACCGATGGACCTTTCCGTGGAAGTTTCCAGAAGACTTTGGTAAACGGAAAACGCCCAGTAAGAAGTAGTTTGCTATGTGTCTCAGTCAGTCGGGACCGGCAGGGCAGGTCGACGAGTAACAGAGACAATTTAACGGGTGGGGACAGGAAGAAAGGCGGGAGAACTCTGTGCCCACATTGCGCACGTGGCAAGAAACGCGAAAGAGGTGGCCGTAAATTGCGCTTCAATTTAGCAACAGTCTTGACAGGAAAACGGCTTGACTTACTTCAAACGGTAAAACGGTGTTTTACTGCAAAATTCTCAGGGGTCAATGGGTTCTTCAAACCCAGTTGTTTTATCATCTAAATGGTTAGAAACAGGTTGTTTACCATTTATAAAAAAATTCCGGAAATTTCGGTCGGAAAATTTTCCGTTTGGTAAGAACGGTACGTATCGTTTACCATTTGCCTAAAATTTCCGGACTGTCGCGCAGTGGCTAGACTGGATTCTCATAGTTCAGTTCAACATGATCTGAAGTCGTCGGTCTGAATCTTCCCATCATCTGTCCAATTTTGACGACCCGTTAGTTCTTTCCGAGGAAACAGATGCCGCAGGAGAAATTGATGTCATTGATCGGCTATAGGATTTGCTATTTCTGACAGCCCAGTTGATAAGTCAGCTGTTGATAATTCAGCGGTTTATAAAAGAAAACACGCTGCAGAAGATTTGCAATTTTCGGGGGAGAATAAACAAGTCAAACAATAGCATATAACTTGCCAGCAATTCGATTTAGGACACAAATTAGCGATTTTCAGTCTGCTCACCATTTAAATACAAGGAACAGCTATGTGTCAGGAATGTTTCCAGAATTGGAGAGGAATAACGGCAGCATGAACACTGGTACAACCTCCAATTGCTGTGCACCCGCCATATTTGTTGTTGTTGTTGAAGCGATCGCGATAGGCCAAAAGCCAAGAGGCATGAAACTAGTACGAAACTCAAGAAACTTGTAAATGGTAAACGAATTTCCAAGCCGAACGTCCCAACTGGGAAAACGGGACTACCTTTTTAGAATGTCCGTTTGTCCCGGGAATTTTCCAGTGGGACGAACCAACAAAACGTTTACCATTTGCATCCCAACAGGAATTTCCGAGAATTTGTGGTAATGGTAAACAACCGCAAAGAACTATCACTTTAAGTGATAAACAATGTTTAAACCGTAATGAAAACGATTTTCGTTGNTAGGATTTGCTATTTCTGACAGCCCAGTTGATAAGTCAGCTGTTGATAATTCAGCGGTTTATAAAAGAAAACACGCTGCAGAAGATTTGCAATTTTCGGGGGAGAATAAACAAGTCAAACAATAGCATATAACTTGCCAGCAATTCGATTTAGGACACAAATTAGCGATTTTCAGTCTGCTCACCATTTAAATACAAGGAACAGCTATGTGTCAGGAATGTTTCCAGAATTGGAGAGGAATAACGGCAGCATGAACACTGGTACAACCTCCAATTGCTGTGCACCCGCCATATTTGTTGTTGTTGTTGAAGCGATCGCGATAGGCCAAAAGCCAAGAGGCATGAAACTAGTACGAAACTCAAGAAACTTGTAAATGGTAAACGAATTTCCAAGCCGAACGTCCCAACTGGGAAAACGGGACTACCTTTTTAGAATGTCCGTTTGTCCCGGGAATTTTCCAGTGGGACGAACCAACAAAACGTTTACCATTTGCATCCCAACAGGAATTTCCGAGAATTTGTGGTAATGGTAAACAACCGCAAAGAACTATCACTTTAAGTGATAAACAATGTTTAAACCGTAATGAAAACGATTTTCGTTGAAGGCATTTGTTAAGGAAGACGATAAGCCGTGCGCGCGCGAGATAACTTCTTCCTCTTGCGCCCAAAACGCCCGCCACGAAATCAAAATCCCTCTCTCATACACAGTCAAACTACCCTTTTCGCACGAAAGGTGGCTGTATTGGCAGGTTACTCAAAAACGCTACAAAAAAACATCTGTTCTGCGTATGCTAATTTTATTCATGTATTCAGGAAAATGAAAAGACATTTTTTAACGACAATGCATAAACGACGTATATTTCAACATCAACGCTACCGCATGTAAAAACTTACAAGGTATGGGTGTTATTAGAATACTTTTGTCTCTCTTCTCTCTCGTTTTTAAGGCACTAGACTCCGTGGGAATTCTGTGGGATGCTCGGCTTCGGTTATCAGAATTTATCTACGGAAAGCATGGAATTACAGTCCGTGTGCCGACAAAGAGTATTTTAAAATTACCAGCGTGTGTTATTGCCGAATACATAAAGAAACGAAAGTTAACATGCGTCGAAGTTATTGAGGCTTTCAGAGACAGAATTCTCGAAGTCAACCCGATTCTCAACGCTGTTGTTGGAGACAGATTCGACGACGCTTTAGAAGAAGCCCAGCACATCGATCAAGTTCTGGATTCGAGCGATATAAACTTAAATCAAGAAAAATCTGTTTTATTGAGTAAGCCTTTACTAGGAGTTCCCATTACTGTGAAAGAATCAATCGCTTGTGAGGGATTCACTAACTCGGCTGGACTTGTGGATCGGAAAGATAAGATTGCCTCTGAGGATGCAGCCGTTGTTAAAAACCTTCGTGATGCCGGCGCCATTCCTATCGCCGTCACGAACTGTAGCGAATTGTGCATGTGGTGGGAGACAACAAACAACGTATATGGACGGACAAACAACCCTTATGAAACATCCAAGATAGCTGGTGGAAGTTCAGGTGGCGAGGGCGCGATTATTTCTGCTGCAGGTTCGGTTTGTGGCATTGGATCGGATGTAGGTAAGTAACCATGAATATTCTAAACTTGGACAATGGTTTGTGTTTATCCTCTGAAAGTTATTCAATACAATAGTTATTAAACTGACTAATAGTTTTATATCCGGGATATAGCGGCGAGTTAAACTCCATTTACACGCGCTAAAAAATCGGCACGTCGCGCCAAATTTATGGCACTGTGCTGACGATTTTAAGGCATCGCACTTCCTCACTTCCAATTTTCGACGTGTAAACGCATCGGTCTCAAATGCTGAAATGGGGTTTTTAAGTTAGGTAATTTCACTATGATGTCCTACCTACATGAATTAACTAACCTTATGCATTAACTACAACTCGCCCATATTTGTTTACATTTTTTGTCTATTTTCAATGTTTTAATAAAAAAAGCGGCTTCCTGCACTGTATATTCAGCTGTATATTGACTGCTGGAAGAGGCTTGCATTGAGAGTGCCGGGTCCAGACCGGGGGGGGGGGGGGTGTCATGGTCCCTTGTAAAACCCCCCACCGGGGGGGGGTGGTAATTCGGATTTTTGCCCAACCCACGCGTGCGATTGGGGGAAACATGTTCAAACCTACCAAAACAAACGCTACGTCTTAAAACGTTATTCATGTGAATTCAATGAAGTGTTGAAAATGGAGAAATGATCGTCGCAGTGAACGCAATTTATGCAATTGCGTAAAGAAGCCTGAAAAAAAGTCCTGAAGTCCTGAATTTTTTTTCAGGCTTCTTTACGCAATTGCATAAATTGCGTTCACTGCGACGATCATTTCTTCATTTTTATTTCATTTCCGCAGTTCATATATGATTTATTTCATACATCATTAACACTGATTTCTTTCACGGGAACATATGAACCCACAATTGACCTCGCACCGGTATCGCGAGGTCACGGGTTCAAACCCCGTTGAAGTCCTGAATTTTTTTTTTTTCAGGCTTCTTTACGCAATTGCATAAATTGCGTTCACTGCGACGATCATTTCTTCATTTTCATTTCATTTTAGCAGTTCATATATGATTTATTTCATATATCATTAACACTCAATGAAGTGTCTTACCATTGACCTTGTACCTATTTTTCAGGTTCATATCAATCTCCTACTGTTTGAGTCCCGTCTCCAAGCTGAACTTCTGTATGCTTTAAGGGCAATCATGAAGTATATGACTTGATAGTTACTTAGTATTAATTTATGACCAGATAAATTAACTTTAACCAAAGAGTAATCCCTAAATATATTTATTGTAAGTAAAGCTTGGAGGTTTATTTCACCCTTTTCCCTGTGTGAGGACAAATGCTTCAGTGCCCCCGCGAGACACGAGGCCGACTGTTCCTTGGGGTGCGTCTTGTTTGGAAAATCCAAACGCATTCTTGAACTTTAAAAAGAAACGGATTTTGCGTTTCTTTGCTAAGGATCCTTAACTAGATTTTGAATGTAAGGAATACACATCCCGAGCGGATTCGCTAGATCAAGTCTTGATGTTGAGGATTCTTGATAATTATGAATCGTGAAGTAGTCTGTACTCTTACGGACCTCAGAAATGACATCCAAATGTTCAGATTTCAAGAGAATCACAAACTTCTGGAGATAAAACAAATACAATCGATCGTTCCATCTATAACGGTTCTCAGTAGGTTTTCCGGATCCGGGATTTGCTTTATTTGAACTCAGAATCGGGATTTTAAAGCAAAATGGGGGCGAGCTTCGGGATGCGGAGTCCGGTTCAAAAAATCGCCGAAATATTCCATAAAGATGAGCCGCGTAGCCAAATAAAATTGTTTCGAGTTAACGCTTGCTTCATTCGCTCTTTTCTTAGCAAAGAAACGCTTCGGATCATGTACCCAGCCCGGGTTTATTTAAGGTCCAAAGGAACAACCGTCGGCAGGGATCTGATTACTGTAAAAAAAACTAATTCGGAGTTGGATTTTACTCAAAAACGGACCCTTAGTTTTCAGTGGGATGATCCGCCATATTAAGCGCGTACTGATTTCTCCTACTTAAAATAACAAAAACCGTTTTGCACGGCATCCGAGCTGGATCAGTTTAAATTTCCGGGAAACTGTTCACCTACCCCTCCCTTAAGCCAACATTAACACTTACCTCTTACTTAAGGCAAAATGTTAGCGTAGGGGAGGGGTAGGTGGGCAGTTTGCCAGAAGCCTAAACTGCGAGCTTTAATCTGACCGAGACAAATGGTGAAAAGTTGTCCACAGAGAGTCGAAAGCTAGATCAACCTTTTTTTAAAGCGATATGGTAAACTTTCCATTGGTTTGCTGGTGTATTCATTGGTACAACTGGAGAGGTGTAGTTTTATAAGTCACGAATCCAAAACGAGTGACCGACTTCTCGGCTTCTCGCCGAAGACGAGCGACTTGGTTTTTACAAGCTACTCAAGTGTCCTCTCAACATCTCGGGTATGCTTCCCACACTTGTAAACCAATCGAACGTTTGTTCAGTTGCTTCCGTTAAAAGATTTTACATGACGGCAAAGCTTTTCTGTTTTCTTATGTCTGTGGCAATGTAATAAGCCATAGGTTTTTGAGCGATCAGAACGAATGTAACAATTAACAACGGATAAGTTTTTAGACTCGGAAAGTTATGCTTAACACCATTTACCTGAAACTGGATTAACTAGAGGATTGTAAGAAAGATAAAAATATCAATCTTCTGCTGTTTAAAGTAAATTACACGAGGGTCATATGCCTTAGTTAAATGCCCCAGGAGTTTGTGCCATAATTTAACTTTTGGCGCTGTTTGCAGTAAACAGCGCTTAAGAATTAGTGTGTAAATAGCCGCTACATGTGAGGTAATTCAAGCCAGTCTTGGATTCTGGTTACCACGCTGTGGATTTCGGATTCCGAATTGTTGGTACCGGATTTTGGATTCCTTGTCCGTGGAATTTGGATTCCGGATTCCTAACGACAAATATTTTTTTCCGGATTACCTTAGATGTGACGAAATTAGACTGTTGAGCAGTTTGAAATCGGTTTTATTTGCGGTTTTGTCGCGTAGTCGTGCACTAACTGTGTTGTATATAAAAAGTGAAACCCGTNATCTCGGGTATGCTTCCCACACTTGTAAACCAATCGAACGTTTGTTCAGTTGCTTCCGTTAAAAGATTTTACATGACGGCAAAGCTTTTCTGTTTTCTTATGTCTGTGGCAATGTAATAAGCCATAGGTTTTTGAGCGATCAGAACGAATGTAACAATTAACAACGGATAAGTTTTTAGACTCGGAAAGTTATGCTTAACACCATTTACCTGAAACTGGATTAACTAGAGGATTGTAAGAAAGATAAAAATATCAATCTTCTGCTGTTTAAAGTAAATTACACGAGGGTCATATGCCTTAGTTAAATGCCCCAGGAGTTTGTGCCATAATTTAACTTTTGGCGCTGTTTGCAGTAAACAGCGCTTAAGAATTAGTGTGTAAATAGCCGCTACATGTGAGGTAATTCAAGCCAGTCTTGGATTCTGGTTACCACGCTGTGGATTTCGGATTCCGAATTGTTGGTACCGGATTTTGGATTCCTTGTCCGTGGAATTTGGATTCCGGATTCCTAACGACAAATATTTTTTTCCGGATTACCTTAGATGTGACGAAATTAGACTGTTGAGCAGTTTGAAATCGGTTTTATTTGCGGTTTTGTCGCGTAGTCGTGCACTAACTGTGTTGTATATAAAAAGTGAAACCCGTTTGAGCTCGGTTGAAGCATTGACTGTATGAGGTAAAGGGTCGGTGTTTAAACCCGCAAAGTTTTATGAGTTAGGATAAGGAAATTACTACTCAGTGTTTATTTTTTAAACTTTGCCTCAAAGAATTTATTTGTAATTCTTGAGCAGTATTTTGTTTTAACAATAAAGAATTACGGCTATAGAGGATAAGCTGATTCTTTGGTAGTTCGAGTGTTTACCTTAAGCTTATTGAAGCTATGTTCTCTCCTGTTCTCTCGGTATTGAACGAATCTCCTGCGTATAGGTGGGTAACCGTGCTCATGGCATCACGCTAACCGTACGAAAATTAAGACGCCTGGACTTTCAAGAATTTGAACGATAGAATTGAGGTCAAATTTTTAGCCGCTATGGTCGAAAATTGGACCGGCGCGATGTGAACATCGTGACCATCTAAACTTTTGTGCGGCAAAGAGGGTTACTTGTCGTGGCAACTGAGCTAAGAGATGCATTAGTGGGGCTTTGTGGTAAAGCTGCTGAAAAAAAAAAAATCAGCCTTTTTTATGAGTTCCGTGTAAACAGAGCGAAAATATTGCACGGTTCCATGTGAAGGAAATGTCTGGTCCAATTTCTCAATTTATTTGGTACCGTGAACGTCAGAGCCTGAGTTGGTAGGGTCGCCTTCTCCGAGTTTAAAAACCCTCGCTTTCAAAATGAGGCCAAACGAGTTTTATTTGCATTAGGTTAAAAGAAAAAACGCTTTACGCAACCACCCTCGCCTTAAATTCGTGTCTTGAAGTATTTAGGAAATAGAGTATCCTTGATCTTTATATAAAAAAAGATACAACTGGTGTGTGAACGATCTCTTTTGTCCACAGTCGATAGCACTTTTTACAGTGGGCGCTTTCCATTCTCTTAGAAATTCCGCAAATTAGATGTTTGGGGTGTGAATGGAACGCTTATACAATTTCGGGCGTTCTACCGGAAAATTTCCGGAAAGAAGTGGAACTTTGAATAGTTACAAAGGTGTCCCGTTTTCCCTTTGGAAATTTTATTTACACTGTAAATGAGAAAGATCTGTTTTAGCCTTGAAATTAGGGCCGTTACGGTGAGTAAAATACTGTGATTTGACTCTCCTAATTAGGGCCAGTACAGTCCTAATACCTAGGGCGGATTTGGACCCAAGGGGGCGGGAGCAGCCTTTGATGGGGTTGTTTTGGCTTAAATTATGATTAAATGGCTCCGGGAGGGGTTGAATGAGACTTTGGCCTGCCGGCTGAATTGACACTTTCGGGCTGAAACAGATCTTTTTTTATTTCTAGTGTACGACGAGTTTTGACGAGGATTCACCACTCTAGGCTATTCATGGCGTCATCTGTGCCGCTATCTATAATTTTGGCCAAAGAGGGGAACAAATCGAACTAATTTCAAATGGAACACGTTCATCAACCGATGGACCTTTCCGTGGAAGTTTCGAAAAGACTTTGGTAAACGGAAAACGGCCAGTAAGAAGTAGTTTGCTCCATGTCTCAGTCAGTTGGGACCAGGGCGGATGGACGAGTAACAGAGACAATTTAACGGGTGGGGACTCGAAAAAAGGCGGGAGAACTCCGCCCACATTGCGCACGTGGCAAGAAACGCGAAAGAGGTGGCCCTAAATTACGCTTCAATTTAGCATCAGTCTTGACTAGGAAAACGGCCTGAGTAACTTCAAACGGTAAAACGGTGTTTTACTGCCGCAAAGTTTTCAGGGGTGAATGGGTTCTTCAAACGCAGTTGTGTTATCGTCCAAATGGTTAGAAAACAGGTTGTTTACCATTTATAAAAAAAATTCCGGAAATTTCGGTTGGCAATTTCCGTTCGGTATGAACGGTACGTGTCGTTTACCATTTGCCTAAAATTTCCGGACTGTCGCGCAGTGCTAGACTGGATTCTCATAGTTCAGTTCAACATGATCTGAAGTCGTCCGTCTGAATCTTCCCATCTGTCCAATTTTGACGACCCGTTAGTTCTTTCCGAGGAAACAATTGCCGCAGGAGAAATTGATGTCATTGATCGGCTAGGATTTGCTATTTCTGACAGCCCAGTTGATAAGTCAGCTGTTGATAATTCAGCGGTTTATAAAAGAAAACACGCTGCAGAAGATTCGCAATTTTCGGGGGAGAATAAACAAGTCAAACAATAGCATATAACTTGCCAGCAATTCGATTTAGGACACAAAATTAGCGATTTTAAGTCTGCTCACCATTTAAATACAAGGAACAGCTATGTGTCAGGAATATTTCCAGAATTGGAGAGGAATAACGGCAGCATGAACACTGGTACAACCTCCAATTGCTGTGCACCCGCCATATTTGTTGTTGTTGTTGAAGCGATCGCGATAGGCCAAAAGCCAAGAGGCATGAAACTAGTACGAAACTCAAGAANTAGGATTTGCTATTTCTGACAGCCCAGTTGATAAGTCAGCTGTTGATAATTCAGCGGTTTATAAAAGAAAACACGCTGCAGAAGATTCGCAATTTTCGGGGGAGAATAAACAAGTCAAACAATAGCATATAACTTGCCAGCAATTCGATTTAGGACACAAAATTAGCGATTTTAAGTCTGCTCACCATTTAAATACAAGGAACAGCTATGTGTCAGGAATATTTCCAGAATTGGAGAGGAATAACGGCAGCATGAACACTGGTACAACCTCCAATTGCTGTGCACCCGCCATATTTGTTGTTGTTGTTGAAGCGATCGCGATAGGCCAAAAGCCAAGAGGCATGAAACTAGTACGAAACTCAAGAAACTTGTAAATGGTAAACGAATTTCCACGCCGAACGTCCCCACTGGGAAAACGGGACTACCTTTTCAGAATTTCCGTTTGTCCCGGGAATTTTCCAGTGGGACGAACCAAAAAAACGTTTACCATTTGCATCCCAACAGGAATTTCCGAGAATTTGTGGTAAATGGTAAACAACCGCAAAGAACTATCACTTTAAGTAATAAACAATGTTTTAAACCTTAATGAAAACGATTTTCGTTGAAGGCATTAGTAAGGAAAACGATAAGCCGTGTGCGCGAGAGATAACTACTTCCTCTTGCGCCCAAAACGCCCGCCACGAAATCAAAATCCCTCTCATACACAGTCAAACTACTCTTTTCGCACGGAAGGTGGCTGTATTGGCAGGTTACTCAAAAACGCTACAAAAAAATATCTGTTCTGCGTATGCTAATTTTATTCATGTATTCAGGATAATGAAAAGACATTTTTTAACAACAATGCATAAACGACGTATATTTCAACATCAACGCTACCGCGTGTAAAAACTTACAAGGTATGGGTGTTATTAGAATACTTTTATCTCTCGTCTCTCTCGTTTTTAAGGCACTAGACTCCGTGGGAATTCTGTGGGATGCTCGGCTTCGGCTATCAGAATTTATCTACGGAAAGCATGGAGTTACAGTCCGTGGGCCGACAAAGCGTATTTTAAAATTACCAGCGTGTGTTATTGCCGAATACATAAAGAAACGAAAGTTAACATGCGTCGAAGTTATTGAGGCTTTCAGGGACAGAATTCTCGAAGTCAACCCGATTCTCAACGCTGTTGTTGGAGACAGATTCGACGACGCTTCAGAAGAAGCCCAGCACATCGATCAAGTTCTGGATTCGAGCGATATAAACTTAAATCAAGAAAAATCTGATTTATTGAGTAAGCCTTTACTAGGAGTTCCCATTACTGTGAAAGAATCAATCGCTTGTGAGGGATTCACTAACTCGGCTGGACTTGTGGATCGAAAAGATAAGATTGCCTCTGAGGATGCAGCCGTTGTTAAAAACCTTCGTAATGCCGGCGCCATTCCGATCGCCGTCACGAACTGTAGCGAATTGTGCATGTGGTGGGAGACGACAAACAACGTATATGGACGGACAAACAACCCTTATGAAACATCAAAGATAGCTGGTGGAAGTTCAGGTGGCGAAGGTGCGATTATTTCTGCTGCAGGTTCGGTTTGTGGCATTGGATCGGATGTAGGTAAGTAACCCTGAATATTCTAAACTTGGACAATGGTTTGTGTTTATTCGAGTTTATCCTCTGAAAGTTATTCAATACAAATAGTTATTAAACTGACTAATAGTTTTATCCGGCATATGGCGGCGAGTTAAACCCCATTTACACGCGCTAAAAAATCTGCACGGTACGCCAAATTTTTGGCACTGTGCTGACAATTTTAAGGCACGGCACTCGCAATTTTCGACGTGTAAACGTATCGGTCCCAAATGTAACGTGGCACCAGTGCTCAAAATTTTAGGGGTGCCGAGACTACCTCCGGGAGGTAGTCTCGGCACGGGTAAACGAGCCACGATGCCAAAAATTTGGCGTGCCGCGCTGATTTTTTAGCACGTGTAAATGGGGTTTTAAGTTCGGTGAAATTTCAATATGATGTCCTACCTGCGTGAATTAACTAACCTTATGCATTAACTATAACTCGCCCTTATTTGTTTACATGTTTTGTCTATTTTCAATGTCTTAATGAAAATGCCGCCTCCTGTACTGTATATTCAGCTGTATATTGACTGCTGGAAGAGGCTTGCATTGAGAGTGGCAGGTCCAGACCGGACGGGGGGGATGTCATCGTACCTTGTAACATCACCTACACGGGACTGTTAGTAACTACGATTTTCAGCCCAACGCAGCGTTGCATTGTTGGAACAATGTTGCAACCATTCGAAACAATGTCGCAATTATGTTGTAATTCCGTGTTGCGCGTCATTGCGAATCGTCCAGTTTAACATCACCTTTTATATGAAGAGACCCACAGGAGTAAAGGTGATGCCTGTTACACGGGAAGATTCGTAACGACGATTTTTTAGTGCAACATAGCATAACAACACTGTTGCGACATTGTTTTTACACTTCCACACCTCTGGGAAGTGTAGAACTAAGTAAAGAATGACAAAGGGTTCATGACTGGGGGAAAGTGAGACAATATCCTTACTTTGTCGGACTTTTTTACACTTCCACACCTCTGAGAAGTGTGGAACTAAGTAAGGGGTGAAGAAACTCTGGATTTCATGGCCAGGGCTGGACATGGCTGCCAGTTTAACATCACCTTTTATATGAAGAGACCCACGGGAGTAAAGGTGATGCCTATTACACGGAAAGATTCGTAACGACGGTTTCTTAGTGCAACATAGCATAACAACACTGTTGCGACATTGTTTTGAATGGTCGCAACATTGTCGGCAACGCAACACACAACAACGCTTGAAATCGTCGTTGTGAATCGTCGTGTAACATCACCTTAAAGGTAATGTTACACGGAACGATTCGCAACGACGATTTTAGCGCAACATATCGTTGCAACATTGTTCCCACCTTGTTTCGAATAGTTGCAACACTACCAATATTGCAACGCTGTGTTGCGCTTAAACTCGTCGTTCCGAATCCTCTTGTTTAACATCACCAGTATCACCTTAACGCAGTCTTTCTGTTGTGTTCATATAAAAAGCATTTTCACTCACGTGGCCAACAGCTATGCAATCTTATTGGGCCAAAAACAGGTTACATGAGAAAAAGGTTCAGCTCTAAGTTCTTACTCCAACAGGAATGGTTTGGGACACCAACATGATCGCCATTTCATCGTTTTAACCGCGGCAGGATTAGCTCAGTCGGTAGAGCGACTCCCAGGGTTCGATTCCCAGGGTCTGACCAATACTCAGGGTCTTAAAATAACTGAGAAATGAAGGTATTGCCCCGGGGGTATTGCCTTTGCCCTGCAAGGCGGCTAGGCCGTCGTGTGATTTGGATGACTACGTAAAATGGCAGTCCGTCCCGTCTCCAGAAGGAGAAGCAGAAACTGAATCGGTGTCCTCAATCAGTAGTTTTGTTCCAAATACGTTGTGACACTCATTCAAATAAAGTGTATTTTTTGGGGTCTTCAATATGTCGTGTGAAAACGCTCTATATTCACTCTAAAACTGGCCAAAGCTCAAGTGGACATGAAGTTCTTGCATATCTAGTCATTTTTTTATGTTTAGCGGGGCGGTTTTCTTTACGTCTGAGAAACGAGCGCAGAAATTCTATACCGATTGCGCGTCACTACCCAGATCTGGGTAGAGCCGGTTCTTATGGGTGGAAATTTGCTTCATCCAATCAGAAGCACTACCCAGATCTGCGTAGTGACGCGTCATCAGCATGGAATTTCTCCGCTCGTTTCTCAGACGTCATTTCGCGGAGAAACCGGTGACGTCACGAAATGTTGGCTGTTTTATCGCGCTGAACTTGGGTGCGGTCCTCAAGAATTCAACTCCAGAGAAATTCACCAACAGTTGAGTCGAAATAATTGAGTTTGAAATCATCCAGTAGTCACGTCGCTATCAATAGGCTGATTTAGCAACAGAACGGGAACGTCAGTTGACGACGGCGCGCGCAAATCAAAACAACTGGCTTGACCAATGGCAGAGCGACAAATTGGACACTACAAGTCGAGTTTAGCCGTTTTCGCGCGCTTTCCCGTCGTCAAATGACGTTCGCGTTCTGTTGCTAAATCAGCCTAATATTACTCTGGAGAACGCATACAACAATAAGGAATAAAAATTATCAAAGAATGTAGATTTGAACCCATATGTATCGTTATTTTAGACAGTGTTACGAAATTGCTTCTTGCCTTTTCTTACAGGTGGTAGTGTCCGCATGCCGGCATTTTTCAATGGAATATTTGGACATAAACCCAGTCCTTCTGTAGTTCCTAATCAGGGCCACTTTCCTCAAGGCTCAAGCGAGGCCTTTGATGAGTATCTGATCATGGGTCCTCTCTGCAGGTACGCTGATGATCTAATCCCGATGCTGAAGGCCATGGCAGGCCCAACAGCTTATGAGCTTAAATTGGACGGGGAGGTAGATCTATCCGCTATTAAAGTTTACACCATAAGCGATGGAGAGTATCCTTTTTTAACTTCACCTGTGGACACCGACCTGCTGATGGCCCAGGAACAGGTTTGTTCCTTTTTGCAGGAACGATTTGGGGCGACAGTTGAAGACGCTCATATGACGCTTTTCCGATACTCACCCCTTATATGGTCAGCTATGATCCTCTCGGCAGAGAGTAACAAAATCACATCACAGTTTTTGCAGAGGGAAAGCGGCTCAGTGTCTATGAACCCGTTTGTTGAGATTTTCAAGTATCTTCTGGGATATTCGAAGTATCATTACGTCACACTTGCAGTGGCAGGCATCGAGCACCTCAGAAATCCTTTACCCCACTGTCTGCCTGATGTGTCCTCGAGATTTGTGCAGATGGGCTTGAAACTGCGAGAGCAAATTCAAGCTCTCCTTGGAAGTAATGGCATTTTGCTTTTTCCCTCGCACCCCAACACAGCTCTTTCACATAACAGGCCGTTTCTAGCGCCGTTGAACTTTAGTTACACTTCGATCTTCAACGTACTCCACCTTCCCGTCACGCAGTGCCCTATGGGTCTTGATAAAAATGGTCTTCCGCTGGGCATTCAGATTGCTGCCGCAAGAAATAATGACCGGCTATCAATCGCAGTCGCTAAGCAACTTGAACATCAGTTTGGTGGATGGAGAGACTGGTACCCTGGGAAAACTTCAGAAGACAAGAAAAATGACTGAAATTCTTGAAGTTTACATAGCAGGCCTTCTACCCTGCGAGCAGAGGTTTTTCTCTAGCATATGGCTTTTAGCGTTAACAAAGTCGTTCGCGTAGCTTGTCAGTCGCGTAGTTGGTTTATTTTATGCGACTGACAAGTCACGCAAACGACTTCGTTAATGCTAAAAGCCATGCAAGAGAGAAACCTTTGCTCGTAGGGTACAGCTAGGCCTTCAAAGTCTTTCAAGCTTAGTCGATAAAATGGCAGACGACCACACACCTGGCTGTATATGGCTAGTACGCACTAACTTCACCAGCTTTTTGAGCTCTTAAGCTTTTTAGCTCACCCCAACAACGTATAATTTATTACAAGTGATAGAGTGATCAAACCAATAATTTGTAGGCCCGGGCCTACGAGTCTGTGGGATGGCTACGCCCCTGTTTTTGGAGTATATCCATAACTTGTTGCTTGTTGTCGCTGTTTTGATCTGACATCTTCGCGAGTTTCATATTTTTGACTTTACTCTTTTTATTATTGGTGAAATTCCATCTTTTAACCTTTTCTCTTTTTAAATTGTACCTTTTGATTGTTTAAGTCTGTTGTAGTAGCTACACAAAACGCAAAGCCTGCACTTTGAAGAGCGTTTCAGTCGAAAAAGTTCTGTTTTAGGTAAAGAATAAAGATGTAGTTTGAAATTTATTCGACATGGAATGGACTTTGGCGAAGCGATTCCCCTACAATATTCAGATTTTTGTTACGGATTTCTCAAAACCTGCCCCATCCTCTTTTGAGCAGACACGTTAATAAATTATTATGATGTGGAAATAGTCCAAGAATTTATAAATTAATATATTTTTTAATATTGTTATTACACATTGTAAATATAGTACAATGTATTTCTAATTACGTCTTGGAATTCTAATTCCCGGCACAGGGTGTATACTGAGTTATGTCATTTTTAGATCTTGCTTTTATTGTTTCATGCAGAATTTAAATTAAACCGGCAGATTGGTGTAAAGCTCTGTTTTCTTGATTTGAGTTAACGTTCACTTTCTCCCTTCGGAATTATGGCTAGTTTTTGCAGGACAAAAATTTTAATTTATTGATCATTCAACCGATTGTTTGGCTCGAAATCAGTGTTACAGGCAAATTTAAGTAACAAAATCAGTGTTCTTTCTGCAACAATGGATAGCGTATAAATTATACGCTACAATTGTCACATTCAGCAGGGACCTGGGGCCCACAGGAAGTGACCCAGGACTCTTTTCACAGGACTACAAGCCTACAAAGCCTGGCGCATAACCTACTGAGCTCAGTTACCCAAGATGGCGTCCTCTTGTTGGTTTCCCGGGCCTAGTTGTTGTTATTAAATTGTTTGAGTTTTTTTATAGTGTCAGACAATGAATTATGCTTTCTTAAAGTTTCCTGATGTAAATAGGTGGCAAATAGGTTTGCCATTTATTCGTTGTTGCTACGGTTATTGAGGTTATTTACCAAATTTAAAGTAAAAAGTAGAAGCACAATTTCTTCACTTTTTGCTTTAACGAGCATAATTTACAAAAACTAGCATACTAAGCAGCATAATTTTAGAAATGACTAGCACTGGTAGTAGCATATTATTCTACTTTTGCGAGCACATTCTATCCTAATCAATAGTTCCCTAATTATATTTGACGCTAAACATCGTCAGGCACTTACCTTCATGGCCTTGAAATCACAGCCGATTTCATGTAATAAGCAAAGTGAAAATCTGTATCCGTTTGCCGAAAAAAGGCTCAAAAGCAATACCTTTTACAAGCGGCACATACCTATATATATCTTATATAGTACCCCTAGAGGGAGAAAGGAAGCTATCCCATCCTTTTTATTTCCGTATTTCGTATGCTTTTGCCATGCAGTATACATGGTAGCACCTTGATTCAAACCGCAACTGGTCTGTTCCAGTCGCGTTGAGCTTGTTAGAAGAAGGTTCACATAATTACATAAATTGCGAATTCATGTTATGCTGCGCGCAAGATATCTTTTTGGTCACTTATTTCTGTTTTTAAAACGTAATGCAGCTTTCCAGTAAAGACTGAAACAAACTGAAGACTCCCACACCGCAAGGATTCTATTCACGATATTTTCGGCATGTCTTGTGTCTGGAAACTGATCCTCCCCGGAAAAAATATTGAAAAAACTTCAAGATTATCCAGTATTACCTAGGTCGGCGGGTGCGAAAAAAGACTATATATTGGCATCTTCCCGATTTGCGGTGATGTTTTTCCGTCACATCCTGCGCAGATCATGGGAAAGTCTATGCGGTATTATAAATGTGGAAAAGAAAACTGAGCTTAGTGGAAATTGAGATACAAGCTTTTATAGATTTTCTACCTTTTTTTCCTTGCCGGTTTTTGATTCTGCCTGTTTCATCTGTCCCCAGTTAGAGCCTGTCCGACCACCCCTTACCCTTTTTTTTATTAAAAAAAAACCCTTTTCAAGTCCTGTCATTTTAGTCTGAAGTTAGCTGTATATTTCAAACGTTTCAGCGGATTAACAGTGCTCCGGGACAGGGTGGGAAAAAGAATCACATAATCATGGTCTCAGAACGCATGCCGCACTATCATCCCACCCGAATTTTCCAGGAGTACGGACCCCTTGTTTGACTGCCTTTACAACCACTTGACAGGCAGTGTTGGAAAGCAGCACATTGCAAAAGGATGGAGCAAAGCGGGAATATCCGAACTTGTTCCAGGCGCGGATCTAGGATCAATACTGACCGACTTTCTGAACGAGCGACGAAGGCGCAAGGTTGTAAGGGGGTTCGGGGACATGCTCCCCCAAGAAATTTCCTGGGTCTCTGAGTATTCTGACAGGATATTGGCAAATTCCAATTTCCTCGGATAAAGCCTTGCAAATCGGCTGATTATTTCATCTCTCGATTTCAACTTGGAAAGTTTTTTTATATATTAAAAATATATTTATTATGAAAACTCTGATAATTTCGGTAAAACGACGGAAACCGGAGTGGATCAGCGCCTGTGTTCAAGCGCTTAGAACAGCGATGTATAAGCTCTATATAAATTCCATTAAGGCAACCTTCAGGGGCACCCAACGACGATATAGTTCAAAACCACTTAACATAGCATTGTTGAAAGTATTTTAGTATTTAAAGGGTAGATATAGGCATATTTTTATCCCCTAAAAACTTTTCATCTGTTCGGATTTCCTAGNCACTGAATATTGTTTCGTTGTTGCATTGACAGAATTAAAAGATTTCGTCGCATCTTCCTCATTTGTAAGGACATAAGCCTCATTTGCTGAATAAAACTCCTTCTCCTTCGCAAAAATACAGCGAAAATAATCACACGAGAAGTCATTACAAGCACTTCGTCCCCTTTCATTTATTATTATGGCGCGCTTTTGCAATTTGAATCCTCTGAGTTAGTGGCTTAGATTGCCACAGTGAAAACAGTTGTCACGTTTAACTAGTAAAACTCGGTTTGTAAACAAATCCTAGAAAGAATGTTCAGCTAGTTAATCGCCCTAGTGAAAACACAACCGTTCTAGTTGATGACATTGTTGAACACTTCAGCCAGTTGCCTGCTGCGTTTCTTTTCCGTTATGGTTGAATAAAGGAAGTTTAAAAAACGAGCACCAGCTGTGTACTCGATTCGCGAAATTTTTAAAATTACCTCGAAAAAAGGCGATTCGTCAAAATCGCGAAATTTAAATATTTCTATTCCAAATTCGCAAAATTAAAGTCGCGCGAAAATAAGTGATGATAAGGTGTTCTGTGGACTTCTTTGTTTTGTCACTCGTGAAGGTTGCAGGCAGAGGAGAGAAAATCCACGAATTATTTTGCCCATTTGGGGAGCAATTTTTTAGAACTTCCGCTCTTGCTGATCGCTGATCGGCCCTTTTCCAAAACGTAAAAAAAATCTTATACTTTTGTATTCTGTATAGCAGAGTCCTTGCCTGAGACGAGCTTAGATATTGTTTCTCCGGGCATCGGAGGTGCAAGTAGTGTTTTCAAGGCGCCCGAAATGAGAAACGAAGCGTTGAAGAGTTCCTGATTCCTTGATGAGCCACTTTGTTGCTATGACGTCATTTGGTTTTCCACGTGACCCAACAGCGACCCGGCAAAAAATAAAGTCGCTAGCTGTAGGTCGGTAGTACTGAAGAAGGCGATAGTATACCAACAATTGTTCGCAAAGTTTCAAGACTTGCAGAACGTCATGGACGGTGGAAAGAAAGTTTGGGTCCCTGACAACGAACATGGCTTTCGTTTGGGAGAAATTGTCGATCTTGGATCGGACACGATCACTGTTGAAGTCGATGGTTCAAAGGGAAAGGTCTGATTGACAGATATGAGCTTAATTTCGTTAGCTAAAGACTTTTTTCCCGTTTATAAAAATGTAGATAGATAAGCTTAAATTTTTTTTTGCAATCTTATTGTAGGTCGTCACGGCTTCCTATGATCGAGTTTTCCCGTCAGAAAAGGATAATTCGCGAGATTTTGAAGATAATTGTAAGTTGCCAAAGAACGCTAGGTTGCTTGCACACGCGGGTGAAGCTTGTATTAAGCTCAATTCCGCTAAAAAAGTTAAGCGTGGCATTAAATTCCAAATAATTTTTCTGGCTTTAGTTTGAATGCCAGTACTTATTTTGATCTGATATTTCGATATTTTGTTATTGTTTTTGGGTATTGGAACCTGGCAGATGTTTTGGCATTGCTTGAAGCTACGAGATAATCGAGTTTGTCTTTAGCAGACGATTGTGTAACTTAATGAAAAACTTAATTTTTGTTGTACTAGCGTTTAACACCGCATTTTTTTTCCCATTGCGAAGTTGCTACATGTATGTTCGAAATTGAGTGGTTTCATTACATGTGGAGGGATCAGAATGTTGCAGATTTAGAAAATTAATAATTAAATTGATTGGTTGCACCTCTGATTGAGGTGTGAGATTTTGAATGGGTTATGCATACTTTTTTTTTCAAAACGAGGGCCTATTTTCAACCGAACTGTAATATTCCTAACAACGGTTATTATAAATTTAACAGATAAATGATCGTGCCGTTTCCCTTTGGCTTACACCTCAAAAGATTGAGCCTCAGTTAATTTTTGTTGTTGTAGAATTGAGTGAATAAGTGAAGAACAAAGAATTTGATTATGTACTTATTGACTAAGTGGGAGGTTTGAACAGGAAATTAGTTGGCTTGTGGATTCAAACATTTTTAAGGAGTCTTGGGAAGTTGAAATCCTGGGTTGAGAATAGTGAGCAATGAGAACTCTGATGTGCCAGACGTAATGAAAGGGAACCTGAAGTTTGGTTTTTCGCTTTCAGATGGAACGCTTCCATCTAACCCAACTTTTGTTTTTACGCCTGTATACCTGCCAAGTGTTATGCCTAAGGAGTGATTGTCACGCCTCTGGATTGAAAACTTCGATCTCATGCCTACTTACGCCTGTGTTCCAATTTCTTATCCTGTTAAAAATGTTTGAGCTGTTACAGCATTGACTGTCGTATTTTGAAACATATATTAATATTATTATTTAAAGAAACTGGAACTAATGAGAAAAGAAAAGTCCATGTGAATGATTGACTTTCCTAAATTCTCTTATTTTAGTAGGGTTAGGTCATCTTCCTTCGTGTTCTCGCGCTCGTGTTAGCCAGAACCCTTCACAGCATCTTCAGAATGTCCTTGGAAGTCTTCGGAACGTCTTCAGTTATTAACAGGCCACTACAAAAAATCCTGAAAGTCTCAGATAAAAATGTCATGCCTATAAATAAAAAAAGGTTGACAGGTATACTCCTGTAGCATGAGTTATCAAGTCAGACTATTGAGAGAGAGAAACAATGAACTTCTAGTTGTTGTTTTGAAGTTCGGGAAAACATCAACGTTCTCTCTGCTAAAGCTCACAATTCAACCCTTTTTGGCTTTTAAGGATTTTTTTGATTCAGCTTAGCTGGTCCTCCAGCAGTGTGTTTGTTGCCTGAGTCACGCCTTGCCAAATTTTCTCGCCATGTATAGAATCATCGGATCATTATACGTTTCTGGAAAACTGCCCCCCTACCCCTACCCCAAGCCAACTTTAAGACTTTCTTCTCACTTAGGGCAAAATGTTGGCTTAAGGGAGGGGTAGGTGGATGGTTTCCTAGAAACATACATGTATAATGATCCAATTCATCTTAGACAATCAAAGCAGTGTACATAGTACAATATCTAGCAACAGTGAACAGAGTTTAACAGGTTCTGCTTCTCTTTTTGCTGTGTTGGTCCATTCATGAAAAGGTACGACTTTACTCTTTACTTACTTTACTTACGTACTCTTTATAATCTGCAGGTTCATTGATGTTTCTAAATGAAGCAACTTTATTACACAACTTGAAAATCAGATACCAAAAGGATAAAATATATGTAAGTTTGAATTTGAATGTTTAAGTGACATTTCTGGATGGTTTCTTCTAAAAAAAAGAGAGAGAAAAGGACAAGAAACAGTTACATTTATTACATATCTACATAATGGGGTTGTTCATAACTGAAGGAATTCTCTTCTCATGCAGACCTCTTTCTTTTTCTGTTAACAAAAAAATATTGCTTATGGCCAGCTGCTATTAACCTGTGCCACAGAACTAAACCTCTGGTTAAGTCCGTGTGAGCCAGTGCCTTAATCCTTGTTCTGGGCTCCCACCTGTTTACCTGGATTTGATTACGCACCTTGATTGGCCTGTCAAAGCCTGGTTTTCACTAGCGCTTAAGCATAAGCACATGTGTAAGCAACTGAAAACTAGGTTGATATAAACATGAGCATAATCACAAGAAAAATGGACAAGTTCGTTCTTCTTGTGCTTGCGCTTATGCTTTATGTCGTAGCTTTGACTAGTGAAAACGGGATTGGCATAAGCACAAGCATAAGCACAAGGCCGTAGACTGGTCAATCATAGGCCACTTTAATCCGGACCTCATATGAACATATCAAAAGCAATATGGTGGATGAATGGTCCGCCTCTTGTTTTCCATCAGGTTATGGAGAGCTGGTATTGAGAATTGAGTCAAATATGTCATTTTGCACGTGCTGTGTCCTTATGCTTATGCTTATGCGCTAGTGAAAACCAGGCTTAAGAAAACCATTGTCAATTTGTTAGTCAGGCTGAAGGGAAATTCAAAATGCACTTCTGGTACATATAATTCATTAAGTTCTTGCCCCATTTTTGTTGCAAGCACTGGCAGCTCTCCACCACCAAAATTTTCCACAAACTCGCACCTTTAGCTCGCATGCTACAGTGATTTTGTTACCTCTGTGTCCTGCATCCCTGACACATAAAAATCCTTAAAGATGCAAAATAATTCATGGCATGCATCCCATAGGATGCAAAGATCAATCAATCGAGCCATGTGTTTTTGTAGAAATATCTTGTTCGTGTAATTTGTGTAGCGGCTACATGCATTTAATGGTTGTTGTTTAACGATGCAAATTTATTTTAGCCTTTGTTGCTTTAAAATAGAAGGACTATATTTTAACAGTATACCGTGGTAAAGGGTTTTGGGTCTGTCTTCATATTATTTAACTGTCTGGTTACATAAAGGCCCAAGCATTTTCAGTTTCGGATTCGTGGTTTTGACTGAGACTCATTGGTTCTAGACTGGGACTCATAATTTTTCACAAAATGAGTCCTAGGACTCACCACTTAACTATTTGTAACAAAATCACTGAGGCTATAAGTACCTCGGCACTTCATTGTTTCTGGGTCCCACTGTAATGCGCAGTTTTATTTCTGTAATGTTCAGACTTATGTTGCCAACATTTTGCTTGCGGTCAACCCGTATCATGAGGTCAAAGATCTTTACTCCAAGGAGAGAATCAGACAGTATCATGGGAAGTCTTTGGGTGTGTTGCCTCCACATGTGTTTGCTATTGGTAAGAACTATGTGAAACTCTTCTAGAAAATTAAGTGTGATTTTGGTGAGATTCTGATAGATGTGTGTATTGATGTATTTGATTTATACTGAATCAAGATGTCTTGGATTTCAGCTGACAAAGCATACAGAGATATGAGGGCTTACAAACAGAGTCAGTCTGTGATTGTCAGTGGTGTGTATTTTTTTTTTTTAATTTTTGTACATTCTAGGTTTGTTGTTTAATAGTGTTACTGAAACTGTCACCTATAACCACCCCCCCCCCCCCCCCCCCCCCCCCTCCCCCCTCTAACAAAAAAAAAAATATTTATTAAAAATAAACACCCCACAACAAAACTTGATATCTCTATTGCTTTTTTAAAAATTGTATTTTTTATTAAATGTTTTTTTTTTTTATTTTTGTACATTTTTGTTTTTTTGTTTAAAAGTGTTACTTAAACTTGTCCCCTAAAACACCCCCCCCCCCCCCACCCAGGTCCATCTACCTGTAAATGAAAGAATACATTTGATTAATAATATAAGCCCCCAAAATATTAGTGTCATAGCTCTTGGTCTTATTAAAATGGATCTGATTTATTATGATGTTTTGAAGTGTCATCAAAAACCAGTAAATGCCACACGATAAGCACTTCTATCTATAGTTTATTTCGAAGAGCTTTTTCTATTCTGGTCATAAGGCTCCTTGGATATTGGCGCCTCTGTTTATAAGCACTCCAGCACTCCTAAAACCTCTTATGACGATGTGTAAGCCTAAGGTTTATTAGTGTTTATGTTTTATTACGTGTCTCAACATTCAAAAAAACAAAACAAAACACAAAAACTTAGGGCCATCTAGCCCCCTTACTGAAAGATGGTAAGCTGGAATTAAAGGGAGCCCAGTGCTCTGAACCTGTGAAATTCAAGGTTCCCAGCATGTGATTTCTATGTAAACACTAATATTCCCTAGTTGCCCAAGAGAAAACTTAATGCACCACCTGGTGCTGCTATAACAGAACCCTTGAACAGGTGATATTTAGTGGGATTCTTGCTCTATTGTTTATTATCAAAGTTATTTTTTGCTGGTTTGGGCTCCCCTCATTTGGTGGGAATGGGAGTCAACCCATTTTGTTGTTTGTTTTCAGGTGAAAGTGGTGCTGGAAAAACAGAGTCAACAAAGTATATTCTAAGGTATGTGGATGTGAAATTTTGACACTACTTTTAATCTGGATTAATTTTTTTTTCTGACAGACGTAATCTTTGTTTTGTCGCAGATATTTGACAGAATCATGGGGATCAGGTGACCAAGGCCGCATTGAGCAGAGAATACTTGAAGGTGAGGTTAAAAATGCACGGAATGTTTTAATACCACTACTATACCGTACACTGTGGCTACAACTGCAATGTATACCTCAGATATAGGTGAGGTAAATAAGTAACTGGGCACACGAGCTATAGGCCCAAATGGCCAGACTTTATACTGGTTTCCGTAGCATGAAGCATGTCTAGGAGTATTGCTACTCCCCCCTGGACAAGATGCTAGTCCATTACAGGGTTACCCCCCAGGCAGTATGTCACTGGTACCCATTTATACACCTGGGTGAAGAGAGACATAGTGGAGTAAAGTTCTTTGCCTTTAAAACTCGACTGGTGAGGCTTGAACCTCGGACCTCCAGATCCAGAGTTTTTAAGGTCAGAAATAAAACCTTAAAAAGCAAATTCAGTTTAATAAGAATCCCGGATCAAAATTTAACTCCAGGTTAGTGCTAATCGTCCTTTGAACGACTGTGCCTAGATCTTTACATTCATCTGCAGCCTATAGTGCTGATTTGTGGGCAGTTATGCTATAGCTTATACCATACAGTTATTTCTACCTCTACTGATGTTAATTTGTAATTATAGCTCGTAATAACTAAGAAAGAAAAATGCTTTACACAGGCTACAAAAATGAAGATCACAAAAAATGCCAAAAAGTTTCAAAATCATCACCTAGAAACATGAATAATACATTAAAAATTTTGAAATAATTAAATTAAGGTATGTAGAATGAATTGTTAATTCTACTGTCTAAATACAGTGTTTTAAATATAGTTTATTGCCAGGTGAGCTTTTTATACAAGAAAAATGCAATTTAATGGGTATTGAATGATTGAAAAAAAAAATTAAAAACAATGGAATGATTGGATTCTTCATACTTTAGTACTATTGCAAGGCACGTATAGAGAAGTAATATTAATGCCGTGCATGCATTTTCACAGGAAGATTTGCATATGTTAGTACAAAATTAATGTAGTTGTTCCCATCAGTGAGACAGTCGATCTGTTGAATAAAACCTCTCTGAATAGTGGATCTCTCTGAATACAATTTTCATAAATTTGCACCATCTTTTTTTGTTATCTGTTTATTTGTGGTAGCCTGCATTGCAACTGGCCTACTCATTGCCATTAATTTTGTATAGACTGTCTTCAAATTAGTGCACCAAAGCTTGTCCTGATATCCAGCAGAATAGCAAGGATATATGTGAGTGTTTTCTGATAGGTTGGGTTACGTGCCTTATGATTGGCCTGATTGTTACATGTGCATGATGGTTGGGTGAAGTGAGATGTCAAAATTCACAGCATGAAAGGAGATGGCGAGGAAAGTTTATGGTAAACAAAGAAATTGCAGTTCGAACTTGAAAGAAAAAATGTGCTTGTAAATTTGCTGACTGGTTTTCCAGCGTGACTCTTCCAATCACTGCAGATGCACTGCCGAGTATTCCGCAATCTAGTGGACTGTGAGTTCAGCTAGCATCAGAACAAATCAGGAAGTCATGAAATTCACAGAAAAAAAAAAACTACACACATATAGTGCAGCTATTCAGGTCCAGGCATTTTGGAGAAAACCAGAGAAACTAACCAGCTTCATGAACTCAAAGCGGTGAAAGTAAGATTTGCTCATTCAAAGTTTAGAATATAGTCCATGCACAGGATAAGCAACAAAACCCTCTTTTGTTCAAGCTGGCTCTAAGGTCACTTTTTACATTTATATCACAGGCTCATTCTCTCTTGTCGTGAGCTATGAGTGGCCTGACGGAGTGAACACTTTATTTCAAATTTGACTAATCATGAACTACAAAAGAAACTAGCCAATCAAAAACGTCCTTGTGACTCTGCGGGATTCGAACTGATGTTTTGCACTAATTTGCAGCAACCCTATACAGAAGGTTTAGAGTGTCTGTGATAATGCAGACTATTGATGTGGTTGCCTTTACAAGATGATCTTGCTGTGAGTAAGATACCGTTGTGGGCAGGCATTGGGATTTAAAGTGTCCCAGCCCAGTCTGCCCTTTCAGTAGATTTAATAAAGCTCTTCCCCAAGTTACACTTGGTACATTTGAGAGCAAGATTTCTGCCAGTTATGGCAAGTGTTGATCTTGATGATCTAATGAAAATTAACATTATAGGGATTGTAAACAATCTTTACATAGATAAAAGGCATCAGTCTCTGCAAGGTATACGTATGTAAGTGGCCCTGTGGGATAATTGTTAGATGTAAAAAATGATGATTCATTGTAGAGGATCTCTACAGTACATGTCTGTATATTGTTTTGTTATTCTTTGTAGCAAATCCTTTACTTGAGTCATTTGGAAATGCTAGAACTGTACGTAACATCAACAGCAGTCGGTTTGGCAAATATGTTGAAGTCCATTTTAATGAAAAGGTGAGTAAAGCAAGAAAACAACAATAAAATATTATATGATAGGAACAGATTGATTTAGTTGAGGTTTAAGAGTTACACTGTAGCGAAGGAAAAAATCTTTTTTTTGCAAGGATCTTATTTAAACAATTCAAGATTGAAATACTGTAGTTAGTATGACGTTTTACATATGTCTTGATTTTCTCTTCTGAGTATTGAAAAGGGAATTCTACATGTATCTCACACTGGCTAACATGATACATGTATTAGAGGAGATAAATTTATTAACCCTTTGACCTCTAAATTTTAAGGGAAATTTTTGACAAAACGATTTATGATCAGCCAATTAATAATGATCCTGTTCTTTTCCGTCCTTAAATAATGGGTCACATTCTCTGTCTAAAAGACCAAGCAAACTTGGCCAGAAAGACACTTATGGCTTGAAAACACAATTTACACGTACTTGCAATTTATTGTCAACCAAATTAGTAGGGGGTCCCTTACGGGGCTCTGTACTACTAAAGGGCCTTTCTGACATTTTGCCAACTTAAAGAGGGGAATTGTAAAACGATTTCTGTTCCTCACTTTTATCACAGCGTTGCTGAGTGCTGTTGTTCAAGCTGCCTGTAGGAAACAGCAAACACCCCAACTGGAGGGGAAGGGAGAGGGGGTGTGAATTTTTTTGTGCTCTGAAGTTACCCTATTTGAGGAGAGTGTCTCAACAATTTTGTTTCTGATTGTACATATAGTTACCCTACCCTGGGTATTAGAGCTTTTTCTTTCACTTCTTGCCACTGATAAGTGAGAAGACCTCTGGCATCCAGGGTATGCAGTATAGTCATCCTTACTGTACTTCAAAATAAGAACCACGCAATCTTTAAAATTCCATGCCTTAACATTTTTCAACCAGGTGACTGTTGTTGGTGGGTTTATCTCGCATTATCTTCTGGAGAAATCTCGTATCTGCAAACAGAGTCATGGAGAAAGGAACTACCATGTGTTTTACAGGCTCTGCTCAGGTGCTCCTCAACAGCTAAAATCAAAACTAGGGATCACAAAGGCTGAGGATTTTCTGGTAAGCTTACATCACAGAGTGTTTGCTGAAGTGACAGTGTTTACAAGTTTGCTATTTAGTAAGACCATCTTTTATCAACCCATATGGGACTTATTTTTGCCGAAGACACATTTTGAAGCTAGTCAAGCTGTTTTCTGGTCACTGTCCGGCTATTAAGAGCTAAAACGTGCCAAAAAGTCATGTGGTGTGCCCGTAGATGGAGGCATGCACAGGAAGAAAAACTTTTGAAATCAGTCTTGACATTTTCGTTTTGCTTTCCCTCATCCTTCTTTATTAAAAAAATAAATAATGCTAATTTTATTGTCTGGTTTTCTCTCTTTTGCTGGTGTCATTAATTTAATACCCTTCATTTTGGTGAGAAAAGCTTTTGGGGAAGCTTTTAGGATTGTACGATTAGATAGTAGGTAGTCCAACAAGATTTTTCTCAAAACTTTTTGGTTCAAAATCACATGATTTTTGCCTTTTACGCCAGCCTCCTTGACTAAGTCATGCGCATTTTGATATGGTTTGAAAGATCTTTTGCTGCCCCACAGGTTAAGCAACAAAGTTGTCCTTGTCCATTAAAACAGTACTGATGATGTTGCAAGTGATACAAGGGGAAATGGGTGAAGTTGTTTTGGGGTTGCAGTGTGTGTGACAATTTGTTTTTCTCTGTAGTACCTAAATCGAGGAACCATTAAAGACAAAAATCTTGATGATGCATCAGACTATCGCCGAATGGAGGAATCCATGAACAAAGTTGGTTTCTCGGAAGAAGAAAAAGCTAACATTTTCAAAGTTGTTGCCGCTGTGCTTCATATAGGAAACATTGCTTTTGAAGAAAGTCAAGATAAAGATGGTAACATTAACCTGCATCTATCAAAAACATATTTTCTAACTAGAAAAGCACATGAAATGCACTGAATGCAGTCTCTGCCTGATTACGAGGCTGAGCTCCAACAGAGCCCAGTTGCCCCCGGCACCCAACTTTTTCTCTTGGGCAACTAGAAAATCTTACTTTTTTGACACAAATCATATGCTGGACACCCAGTGAACACCCTAGATTTTACATTTTCAGTGCACTGGGCTCTACATTAAATTTTTCTTGAGCACAGCCTTAAAATTAATTCCAAGCACATTGTAGTGCTTTTATTGGAATATTTTTTAAAAAACCAAGTAGATTTAGATTTCTAATAACATGGAACATGATCCATATGCAAAACATTGTCCCTTTTTGGTGTTGCATCTTTTGGGCCTCAGATCATGACATTATAAACCAAATGCAGTGAAGTATGTTGCTGAAAAAAAAAAATAGTGGCTTTCGTTTTCTGAGCTGTGCACCTGTAAATGTATCTGAAAAGCAAATGAGAATATAAATTCAACAACTTAATTGTAGCTACTGTATTTGTTATTGCAACTGCATGCCCTTATTAGTTTTTATAAATAATTCAAATTACATTGCTTGTTGGCTCATGTAAACACGTATGTTGTGATGCTATCTCTGTGCAGCTGGCTGTTTTGTTGGAGCAATTGACCAAGAATAATGTGCAAAGAAAGCAACAATATTGTTAGGTGTGGTACACACACCATGGTAAAAAGCATTTCCCATGTTAATGAAGCCGTGGTAAATTTTGATGTGAGTTTCTTTGATGTAAACATGGATATTTCCATGGTAAATTTGTCTCGTGAAAGTCCGGTCACAAGCACCACATCAGTTTCCTGCAGTAAAAGGGTTATTTACCACAGTAAAAAGGTTCGGTGTAACTGCACTTACTGGCAAAGCTGCAAGTCAAGCTGAGGATAAGGGAGAAATCTCATTCCCCTGATTTAGTTCAAGGCTTGTTCTGGTAGCATCTTCTTTTTTCTTCACTGGACTTTGATGAAACTGCCAGCTGCACAGAATAGTTGGTACCTGTCACATGAAAGATTAAGGTATATCAGTCAGGTTCATTACTTGTACTGTCAGCTAATGCTATTTAATAATTCTTGTATTTTAAGGTGGTTCAGCTATGTCATCAAAGAGCACCAACTCACTGAATACTGCCGCTCAGTTACTGGATGTGTCTCCAGAAGAGCTGAAGATGTCATTAACGACAAGAATGATGTCAGCTGGAGGGTCTGACATGAGGTCTGAGCAACAACAGCGTCATCAAATATTGTGCTGTATCATTCCAGTGGCTTTAATAATGGCTTTATTATTGCTAACCACTAAACATAATTGAATAAACTGATCTAACCACTAATCAAGGCAAAAATCTTCATTTATTCATGTAACTTAAGCTAATCAGTATCACTATGAAGCATTACATTATTATCATAATTAGCTGTTTAAATTTAAAGGTAAAGGTGATGATGAGGTACATGTAGTTTATAACAGGTTGGTAAAGAGTGTGCAACATTTTTTTGTGCAATATTATTGCTAACAGTAGTTAGTTAATACATCCTGTGAACAAAAATTTAACAATAAGTGAGGTAATTGTTTAACATTATTGCTTCAAATTAAACTCTTAATCACGTTCATTTTTCTCCTTAAAATATCCGTACATCATCAAAAATGAAGTCAGAATTAAGATTGTAATAACCCAAAATGAATTTGTTGTTTGTGCAACGTTTCCTATTTTCTTTTCTAAAAATATTTGTTGATGGGAGATGAGAATTTGTGGTTAAAAGAGTAACGAGATAAACCATTTGAAAACTCAACAAATGCCTCCTGCAATTGAGCTTCTAGACATCACAGTATCTAAAACATCTTTGATCTTGCCAGAACGGTTAATATTACCACATCAGTTGTAGACATGTCAATAGACTTAGTCTCAGGTTAGTCTCTTAGTAACAGTAGTGTTAAATACTTCAATGAGCGCATTGTGATGTGATTGCTTGGAGGTGACAAGTAGTTTGTCTTCTGTTGTCTTTTCACAGGGTGCCACTAAAGCCAGAACAGGCCAGTGCTGCAAGAGATGCATTGGGCAAAGCGCTTTACACCAAACTGTTCGATCATATTGTCGCCCAGGTCAATCAGTGCTTCCCATTTGAGAGTTCTTCCACTTACATTGGTGTGCTGGATATTGCTGGTTTTGGTGAGTCTACAGCAAAGGAGTGTCAAACTTGTGCCAAGTGGGGGTAAGGGACAGGGGGAGGTTGGGAGGGGAGCACCAGCCCTCCCTCCTCCCCCCTGATCCCTTACATTGCATTTCGGCTCCTTCGCCTTTTTTCATGGCCTCCTCCCTTTAACCCTTTTTCGATTTCAAAATATTAAGCTTTTTTGCATAATTTCTCTCGCTGCCCACCAGAGAACCTTTCCCTTCTGCTCTCTCCTCTACCATCTGCCTTACCCCTCCCTCCCTTTTTCTCCCAGAATCCCACACCCCTAACGTCCCTCACAAACGAAAGATCCTGAGAAAACGTTGAGGAATATACATGTACATACTGTTTTGGCTCCTGCTAGGTTGGAGCAGCTCATAGTGACATGACCAAGGGTCTCACTGGCTAATTATCATTCCAAAGAGTCGACTTTCCTCTTTACAGTACTCGTTGTTATGGCTTCTGTATTTTTGAGGGAGCAAAGTTGTCATCGCGGGTAACAATTCATTCCCGTTTCTGCTCAACTCTTGACTTTTTTTTTTCACCTCTTTTTTACCGACCCCTGTTATTATGAATTACATGTGTCTCAATACATACTTTGATTTTTTTGTTGTTTTTTCACAGAATATTATGAATTCAACAGTTTTGAACAGTTTTGCATCAATTACTGCAATGAAAAGCTTCAACAGTTATTTAATGACAGGATTCTTAAACAAGTAAGTATAGTGAGCGCTTTGACTTCACATCAACATTTGTTGAAGATTCTTAGGCAGCTACCATTAGCCACTGTTAATCGTGTCTCCCCAACCCCACCCTTCCCTGGAGGAACTTTATGGCACTGAGGGAGGGGGTTAGCCAGGGTTTTGTTTTTTCCCGTTCGTTGACTACTGAACCACCATTTCTAATTAGTATCATAGCATTGTTTTGCTAAACTAAATCGTTTGCTCTGGTGGGAAACTTTTCATACTCAATGTCCCTCGCTCAGTGCCACATTTCCTGAAACCCCCTCTTGATATTTTTTGGGTAGTCATCCAACTGGTCCGCCTCTGATAGTTTCGTACCAGGCGTTAACAAACTGTAATCTCTAAAGATCAAATGTAAATTGTTTTTGTACAAATATTAGGAACAAGAGTTGTACGACAGAGAAGGTCTGGGAGTGAAGACTGTGACGTACATGGATAATCAAGATTGTATAGGTAAGCATCTAGCAAGTGCGTCTTTTTTTTTCACAAAATGAATGAGGGAAAAGAATGAATCAGTTTCGATATTTTGTATGATCTTGAAATTATTTTGTGTGAACCAAACCTAAGCAAACAGAATGGAGAAGAATGAAAGGCCCGGCCGTGTCAAACTTCGAGCTACCGCTTTGCCGAACTCAATTCATGTATTATAAATGCATTAAACTAAGAAGAAAACAAATTCGATGTCTGAATTTAAGTCGTGCTACAGTGAGCCAACTTAGTGCGGCAGTAGCACGATATTTGAAACTAACAGCTTAGAGAATGAAATCGATTTACCATGGTCAAAACTGAGACCAAAAGCTGACGATACAAGCGCTATACCTGCATCCGAGTCTATCAACCTCAAAGGAATGTTTGGTCTCAGATTTGACTTTTTCAACTCGAACTGGAAAAAAGCCCGCCTGATTCGTTTAGCCGTTGATAAAGGTCATGTTCCGGCGTCGCCTCCACAAAACGTTAAATAAGGCATTTTCGCGTCTTAGTCGTGCAGTGATGGCAAAGAAATGTAAATTAAAAGCGAGATGCACGTGCGGAGTTGTTGTTTCTCCAATATAAACCAATTGCTTTTTTACCGTTCTCATTGACGTCGCCGTCGTCGTTGCTTAAGCTCCCTATAAAGGCTCAGACGCAGCCGTTTTTGACTCGTCACGAAACAACGCTCCTCAGGAGCGTTGTGCTACGAAGCAAAAACAGCTGCGTGTGAGACTAGCGGTGGTCGGGTTCCATGGGATTGTCGGTGGCAGTAAAAGCACAAGAGGAGATGAGGGAAATATTAAAAAAAAAACAAAACAAAGAACCTTTCAGAAAAACAGAACGGGAAAGCAGCAATTACTGGATGATACGTCTTGTAGGTTTAGCGTACAGGTGTACATGTATACAACACTATATCAATGTGTTGGATATTTTAGATCTGATTGAGGCTAAAAAGACAGGAATTATCGACATTTTGGACGAGGAGAGCAAACTTCCTAAACCAACAGCAGAGCATTTCACACGAGAGCTTCATCAGAAACACAAGAATCACTTCAGGCTGGCGGTAGGTGAAATTCTGTAGCTTAAGATATCAACATGTTTTCTCTTTTTTGGTATTCATTTTTTTTATTTGAGCATTTTGTGTATCTTCTATTCTACCCAGTTTATTCTTTCACTTCCAGAAGTGGCCTAAAGTCAACATTTAACAGTTCCAAATTTCTTTTGTTAAATTGCCAAAAAACAGATAGTACCATGTGAAAGTACTGCTGAAAAGGTTTCATTTGAATGGTAACACCGCAGGGTCTACAGAATCAGAAGTTAGAACTACTTGCCAAATAAATAGTATCTTATGAAAGTACTGCTGAAGATAATTCATTTGAGTTGTAACACCATGAGATTTCATTCACAGACTCGGAAGTTAGAATTACATACTTATTAAATAGTACCATGTGAAAGTACTGCTGAAGATATTTCATTTGAATGGTCACACTGTAGGATTTCGCCCTAACACGAAACATTAAAAGAAAAATTAGAGTCCTTCCTGTTCCCGAACACGATGCTATAATCGAGTGACTGAGCATATCTGCAAGAGTCCACTTATCATACGTCATATATCAGTTTTATTGACCAGCTGAACTTGTTTCTTTGTGTTAAGATTCCCAGGAAGTCTCATCTAATGTACCACAAGAAAATGAGAGATGATGAAGGATTTCTGATCAGACATTTCGCTGGAGCTGTTTGTTATAACACGGTAAGTAAACCCTGATGGAACTCTTGGAATAAACGTCAACTTACAGATGACTGGCTTTTTCTCAGTTTTAAACAACTTTCCATGTATCAGCTAAGATGTTACGAAACTTATAACACAATTGCCGATAAGTGAACTTGCGTTTTTTCGAACTTCATCCTGTTAATTCATACTCACCTAACAACCAGTCAAGAACACTTGTGACAATTTGTCAGAGTCAAAGCCAGTAAAGACTTCAGGGAGCTTAAGCAACGTTAACGAGAACGGCAAAAAAGCAATATGTTTAGATTGGCCAAAAAAAAAACAACAACAACAGCTTTGCACGTACGTCATTCTTTTTTGTACATTTCTTTGCCGTCATTGCACAACTACGACGTAAAACTTACGGGAACACATGACAACGATTTTCTTTTTCTTTTTGTGAACTTAGGTGCGGTCCTTTAGAATTCAACTCCCGAAGAAAATCGCAAACATTTGACAAATGAAAAGAGTTGCAACAACAGCGATGAAGTTTGAAGCAGCGCTACTTCACCTTTTGGGTGACGTTTTCGCTGCCGTTGGCGTCGTCTTTGCTTACGCTCTCTATTAGAGACCTTTAGACTCGAGGACGATATTCTTTCCCGTATTCTCATTCTCAAAAAATAGACACCCCGGATAGCTTCACTGATAAAACTTTTAAGACACAATCCACCAGGACATTGAGCAGTTTTGATTTTCAGTGGACAAAAATCTTATACCAGAATAATTTAAAGCATATTGCATACAAGGTACAAGGTTTTTGTCCACTGAAAATTAAAATTACTCAATTTCCTGGTGGATTCCGCCTTAACATTTCATAACTTGTTTCCGCCACTACGACCTTCTCGCTTAACCACGGTTATCACGTTTTCCCGTCAAAATGACAGGCGCCGGTTTACGCGCGCGCCTACTTAGTAGGGAGCTAAGGCAACAAGGACGGCGACGGCTAAGAAATCGTCACTTAAAAAGTGAATTCGCGCTGCCTCAAACTGTATCACACTTATTCCATCTCGTTTAATTCGGCAAATGTTGGCAAATTGTTTTGGACGGTTGTGTTCTAAGGGACTGTATCAAAGATCAGGAAAAGGAAAAGAAAGTCGCTGTCTTGTGTTCCCGTCCTCGACGGCAAAGGAATGTACAATAAAGCGTGATGCACTTGCAAAGTTGCTGTTTTGCTAATATAAACGCATTTCTCTTTTGGCATTCTCGTTGCCGTCGCCGTCGTCGTTGCTTAAGCTCCTAAGTATTGAG